CCTCTCCCTCTCCCTCTTCCTCTCTTCCTCTTCCTCTCTTCCTCTTCCTCTTCTTCCTCTTCCTCTCTTCCTGTTAACTCTCCCACTTTAGCAGTCATGACCACTGAGAACAGACTGATTAGAGCCAGTGAGTGTGCTTTGCCCCAGACGCTGCTTACCACGGCCCTTTTAGGCTCAGGTGTTACTTACATTGCGCCAGGACCTGTGTGTCTAAGTGGAGCTTGGCTTCCCGGTCCCAGCCCTTCCCTCACTTTCTGCAGAGCTTTCTCTCTGTCTGACTGTTACACTGGCCCACGACACTAGAGGGACTTGCTGGCTCAGGAGCAGTATGCAGCCCAGACTGGCACCCGTGTGGCCGAGGGGTAATGGCGCAGGCTCTAGAGTCACCGCACAGGGCTGTCCTTGGCCTGGCACTCTCTTCTTGGCCTCTACTCCCTCGCACGCTACAGGGTTGGCAGTGCTCCACGCTCTGTTCTGGGCTGAATGGCGTCACAGCTGAGATGGGCTTAGCACAGTGCTGGGATAGCATGCCACAGAGGGAGGTTGGGGTGTATTCCTCGTTCTGGGTGGAAGCGCTCACTTGGGGAGACACTGTCTCTAGGGGCCCGTCCTCGGTGCCAGCAGTGGGCAGGGCACTTAGCATGTGCCCCGTGGCAGAGGAAGCCTCCAAGGAGCAGAGCTGCTCTGGGCCTTGGCAGACCTTTTGGCTTTGGCTCAGTGAGGAGAACTTGTGCGGCGCAGGGGGCAAAAGGTGGGTGAAGCGGGGGCCGGGGTCCAGGCGTGGCCTGTGGCTTGGCCAGGATCTGGGCACTAGAGCTAGCTGCATCCAAGCAGCCTTCGAGAGGAAGGTTCCAGAAGCTCACACAAGCCACCCACGTCTCAGCCCCAGGAGCTGGCTGTAGGGCCAGAGGTGGGACGGGTGTGTCTGAGGATGGGGGCCCAGGACCAGGCCCTGGGAGAGGAATTCGCATTTGGGGCAGGAGGGGTCACTCCACCTCGCCTGAAGCCTAGAATCCAGGAGGTTGATCTTGCTGCGTGTTTTCGTTTTCGTGGAACTGGGGGTTGAACTCAGGCCCTTGAGCTTGGCGGGCAAGCGCTTATTCTGCTGAGCTATGTCCCTGGCCCCTGATCTTGCCTTGTAACTTAGGGCTCTCGTCTGAGAGGGACAACAGGACAGTGGCAATAGAGCCACAGTGATGTCATAGTCTGGGTTCTGTCATGACACCCTGGCTCCTAAGAGCCTGGGTATTGAGTGTCCTGTGCCCCTGGAGAGAAGTCCTGTAGGTGTCAGAGCCAGGTGCTGGGGGCCGTGCAGTGCGTGCCTTTGATGCAGTCACTCAGCAGGCTGAGGCAGGAGGATGGCCCCAAGGAGAGACAGGTGCTTAGGGACTGGTCCACTGCAGCCCGCTCCCATGCTGTCTCCTCTGCTAGGTGATGCTGTGTAACCCCATCTGTGGGGTCGTCTACGCCCTGACAGTGTGGCGATTCTTCCGAGATCGAACTGAGGAAGAAGAGGTGTCGCTGATCCACTTCTTCGGAGAGGACTACTTGGAATATAAGAAGCGGGTGCCCACGGGCCTGCCCTTCATAAAGGGGGTCAAGGTGGACCTATGATGGGCGGGCCACATAGGCCGACCACTGGGACGGAAGCGCTCTGGTCAGCACAGCAGAATGGATTTTCTTAATCATTTTTTACGTCACTAATTACTCTTCTGGAATGTCACCCAAGACCATACGGTCAGAAGGCCTTAGGACCCAAAGCCCCGCTGGGGCACTCTTGTGCTGAACCCAGGTAGGGCATAGGTTACCAAGGAATGTGGAGCAGATCACAGCAATATTTATCCGTGCCGATTCCCAGGTGACCGGTGAGGACCTGGGCCACGAGGCGATGCCACTGTGTGTTCGCATGGTGTCCGGGCCTCCTCAGGAGAGCAAGGTGCACAGCGCAGGACGTGTCTGCTGCTGGGGGTGGTGGGTGTCGCTGCATGTCAGCATTACAAATGCACTGAAACCTTTTAATTTCACTGCAGAGCAGCACAGCACAGGTTCAACCTCTCTCGTGTCCTTCGATGCATGCACGTCTGCATAACTCCAGACCCTTCCTTCTCGCCCTTTGACCCCTCATGCATTTAACCATATTCACACGTCCACTTTTATAAATAGCAGGATAAATGCAAAGGAGCTCCCTGGGGCATTCTAGTGCCAGCTTGTGTCAGTCAGCAGGTAAGCACAGACCTGACAATGTGGCTGGTAGCTTTGGGTGACTGGCATCCTAGGCCAGGAGACGGAGGCCCTGTGAGCCTCCCTGGGGTCCTGTTGCTGTTTCCTTCCTGTTTCTGATGACAGACAGGTTATACGTGTCATTTTTCCTTTATCCAGGAAGTACTTTCTGGATACCTGCTACATGCAGACATTGGTAGCCACTGCTGACAGATTCCCTGCTGTCCATTTGTTTGGGATTCTGTTCTTATTTTCCTATAGCTGGTGTCCTCGTGTCTCCATCTAAATCCACCCAGCAATGTTCTCTGGGCCCTCATCCTCCCCAGTGCTAGTTAAAGCTGCCTTTCCCAAATGGGTCCAGCTCATAACCGAGCCGGCACATCAAGCCCTGCAAAGAATCTTAAATGGAGCTCATTGTCCCAGCCGAGGCTCTGTGGACATCTGTGTCCCACAAGTTCAGGGAGAAGAAAGGCCTTTCTGAGTCAGACAGAGCTGAGCCCCTCACTTAATCCCTGGTGAATCCTGGACCAGACAGGAACTTGGTCTTGGTGTGAGATCCTCACAGGCAGCCCCACGGGAGCACGGGGGATGGTGGTGGTGGCCTGCAGGCCACCATAACCATGGCTTTTTTTTTTTTTTTTTTTTTGCGGAATCGGGGATTGAACTCAGGCCCTCGTGCTTGCCAGGGAAGCGCTTATTTCACTGAGCCATCTCCCCATCGGGCCCTAACCATGACTTGTGAGGAGCTGCCAGGCCCTCCACGCTTAGCTCACCATCTTCAGGACAGGGCCCGTGCCACTTACCTCCCTGTTGTGAGGACTGAGCTACCAGCGCCTGGCATCTCCGACCCGTAGTGCAATCTGTGGCGTAAAAGCGCCCACAGATGGGCTGTTCGGTTACCTGGGCAGATTCCTAGCAGCGTTTTTCCAGCTCAGAAACATTATTTCTGGATCCCATGGCTTAGTTTTCTCATCGTTCTATATACCAAAGAGGCTCAGTGGGTTTGTCCATTGCCAGCACGAACCCTGCTGGCTTGAGACCCTTCGGCCCTGGTGACCTCAGAGGGGCTCACAGGGCCTGAGTCCTCAGGGGGCCAGGCCTGGGAGGGTGTCAGACGCATCACGTGAGTCCAGCTGGTCCCCAGCTCCCCCAAGCCCCAGTTACTGCAGCAGCCGCTCCCAGGCTGGACTGTCTCGGTGGTGAGATTCTGGCAGCGCGTGGAGGTGATGTGCTCCTCAGCTGCGTCCGGGCTGGCCAGCCAGCCTCCCCCGTGGGGGCTGTGAGGTTGCCTGTTTGATGGAAAGGGAGCAGCCGGTGATAGCCCCTGGCACTGTGTAGTAAGGCTGGGCGTTGCATTCGGTGCCAGCTCCCATCCACCAGAGGCGGGAAGCTGATCTTCATGCCAGACCTGGTGGAGGAGCTCATGTCTTGGGGTTTTCAGTGCTGCTTCGTGCCCCAGGAGACCACGTTGTATTTTGCTGTGCTTTAGAGAGTAACTCTAGGGGTGTGGGGAGGGAGAGTCCCACCCTGGGTCTAGGCCAGCATGGCATGGGCCTCATCTACTCCTATGCCAGGTGGAGCCTTAAGGCACAGAAACAAGGCTGCTCTGAACAGCACCAGGGAAACCCTGCAGGGACTGCTGCCAGGCATGGGGACTCCCACTAGAAAGTGGACACCAGCCCCAGGATCCCGGCCTTGATGCAGCAGCTGCTGGAGGCTAACAGCACAGAGCAGCTCCTGGGAATGGGAGGGTGGAGCAGTTCTTGAGTGGTGGTGCAAACAGTGGGCCAGTCGGCTCCCTGATGGTCGTGACCCCACCGCAGGCATAGCGAGCCCGATCCCTCTGCACTTTCTCACTGCCTTAGGTAGCTGCGACCCCCGCTGTCCCCAGCTTCCCTAGCGGCTCAGCAAGGTTAGACACCTCAGCCTCTCTGCCGGGTGGGCAGGGCTTGCCCACCGCCTGCTGCGGGAGGCCCCACCGCAGAGAGGGACTTACGGAGTAATTGTTCTACTCTTCTGTTTACATACAGAAATGTTTATTTAAATATTTTAAATGGGATTTTCTTTCGCAGATACAGATGATTCTTCCCAGTTCTTAAGTCAATAAAACTATTTGATTTCATCCTGAGCAGCAGTGTGGTTGTGTGGGGTGCAGATCGTTGGTGAGCTGGGGTGCTGAGAGCCACGGGCCTCAGCTCCTGCGCCGGCACACCCCCCAGGCTGGGCCGGGAGGCTGGATGCTGGGTTCCCTCCACCCATGGCTGCCTGCAGGCCTTCAGTGCTCGGGAGTGCTGACCCTCCTCACGCCTCACGCCGCAGGCCGCGGAGCAGCCAGGCCTCCGAGGGCGCAGCTGACCGCGGTGTGTCTGCCCTGCTGGCCCAGCCCCGGCGCAAGGGTCTGTGCTGTTCACACAGCCAGATAAATCTGGGTATCTGCTCAGGGTGCAGCTGTCTGGGCGCCCCTTGGCCTCCACAGTCTTTACATTTTGTTTATTTTAATAATTTTTAAAAAATGTGTTAGTAGTTGGGGCTGGAGAGATGGCTCAGTGGTCTAAAGCACCTA